AAGATGTTGTGACCTTTGGTATGGCTGTAGTCTCGTTTCGATTTATAGAAGTGGGTTGACCTCGTTGTCTCAACTTCATCTTGTTGTCATGGTGACTTAGTAGAACGCAGCTAGTTCGAAATCGTCTGTCATAGTAGTTGTCATGATTCCCAGCATCCGACAGTGGACTTGGTACATTCTCAAACGCTTCGCCGGCATCGTAGTCGGCATTATCAGTGAGCTTTTCCATTCTCCGCACCAAGCTGCAAACTCGTCAAAGAGACAAATGAAGTCAATCCCTCGAAAAACGTTTTGTCGACTACTGTTATACCACCTCTCCTCTTTCCGTCCTGGTCTATCTATCTACTCTTTACCCACTTATCCAACTCCCGCCCTATCATAACTTCTCACTTGGTTACATTCCCTTTTGTGGCAAATCTTGTGTGACCTCATCACACCTGCTATTCACCTCGACCCTCTCACTTTCGATCGGCTAATCCTATGACAGCAAAACGTTTAGGAATGTACCAAGTCCACTGTCTGATGCTGGGAATCATGACAACTACTATGGCAGACGAGTTCGGACTAGGTGCATTCTACTTAGTCGCCCTGACAACAAGACCATGTTGCGCCAACGAGGTCAACCCACTTCTATTTAGTGGAGCATACTCATGATGAGCTGAAGAAAGATCGGCTCTACTTGATCTAGGATCACTTTTAAGCGTTGAAAGACGTCTTACCCTCTCCGACTTTGTCGCCTCTTCTGGACGATATTCTTTGGGATCGGCTTGTTCGTAGCTCTGACGAAATCTATTTTTATCAGTTTCCCCAATATCCGACTCTCCGGTCATCCTCTTATGGTCGATCCGTCGGCCGATTAATACTGAGGCTGACGATGATGCAATGGTGCCAGCCTCAGTTCCTGGCTTCAACGGAAGGGTCGAGGGGGCGCTGGGCAGTCGTCGTAGCTCCCTTTCGTGGCAAGGATATGGTGTGTCAACTGACAACTGCTTCGGCAATTCTGAGTTTGTGGCTAAGGACAACATCCTGCTTAGGCTGTTCTGTTCCGGTGTCCAGCCAGTCTTACGTTTTCGGCAGCTTTGCAGCCGGGCCTGCTCGGAGGCAGTGGCACCAGCCTCCAGACTGGCTTTGGCGCCCAGGTTTGGTATAATCCTACCTTTGCGATCCAAGTAGCCTCGGAGACTGGCCGACTCGCCAGCGTCTGCCTCATTCGTTTTGTCACCAGAGCATCGTCTCGGCCTGTTTGGGTCGTCCGAGGTCGCGTTGATCGAGGCCACCCATCCTCCAGTCAGCCATTTTCCTGCCTCCTGGCGAACCCTCAGCTGCTCAGAACAGCTCTCAGATCCCGTGCATGGCCACAAGGTAGAAGACAGATTGATGTTTACATTCGCCAAGCTTCTGCTACATCCAGACCTAGCATCTGGAGCGCTGTCTGTTGCTCGGTTGTCACTGTAACTCCAAGAATCTGTACCTTCATAGCTGTGACTTGGCTGAAGGCACAGACGGTTGATGTCCTCTCCCTCCTCCGAGGCGTCGAATACCCTGTCGCTGAGGGTAGACCGTGTCTCTGATATGGTTGCCGCGGCAACTGCCAATTGTGGGCAGAAATCTTGACTAAGCCTCAGGCTGGATGATGGAGGCAGGCCGAGACTGCAATTCTTGCCTGGGATTGGCGGTGATTCCCCGACGTCAACGACCTTCGCCGACTGCCTTCTCAGCATGTGGGCGCTGCTGCTGCGAGACCGCTTGTAGACATTATAGGGAATACTGAAATGGGCATGTGTGAGCCAACGAGAAGGTGTTTAAATGAGGCAAGGAAGGGAAAAAGAGCAGAAACTAGGACAATGTGAAAGTCTTGCGACAGCAGATCTGCTTAGATGGTGGCTCGTAGGGAAGTGGCCAATTAACTATAGAGTTGTGGGACCTACCAAATGATGGCATATGAACATAGTCATGTTATATTCGTATGAGAGTAGGGTTTCGAGACTACCAGTAAATCAATATAATGATATGTATTCC